GTTTTCCCGTTATCAAACAAAAATAATGGGTGGGGCTGAGGTGATGTGATTTCGGCCCCACCCAAGGTTAAAAATTATTAATCATAGTCGTAACTACACCATAATTTAGTACGTATTTTGTATGAATTTGTACGACTCTTTTCAAACTTTGAAGTTTGTCATACAATTGTATACAAATTACGTACTAAATATTGGTAAAGAAAATTTACAAATGGGCTATATACTGTCTAAAATTGTCTCTTCGGGTCTCAGCTTGTGGTGGCGTCCTCGAGGGTGTACGGCTAGGTCAAGTGACAGTGTTATAATATTATAAACTACTGACGGGTCCTATGCCTTCCCACGAAAATCGCCAAATATAGTGGCGATAACAACGATAATATTATAATATTATTACTATCATTATTATTACGATCTGCTGTACGGTCCTCGCCGAGTGTTTTCGTGTCGGGCAAATGACTGTGAATTGCATCTGACAGCTCTCCCAAAGTCCCAAAACTCATCACAATCTCATTAGGACCGGCACACATTATTATATACGTCTGCGGCACGTCGATTTGTGCATCGCGCGTGTGTGTTTTTTCTTTTGTCGTCGTCATTGAAAATTACACGGGTACGATTAATAATTGCCTGAATACTTGTAATTTCACGTTTTCCGGCCGTTTTGTCGGCGACAAAACTACGACGACGACGACGACGACCCACGGGGCCTCTTATGTGTAACTCGATACTATTAGTGAACGTACGGAATTATATATTATTATTATTATTATTATTATTATTATTGTACACACAAAAACCCCCGTCGGATTCCTCGCGGTCGAGTTTGTACGCCGCCGCAGTGGGAACAAAACGCTGTAATATTGTAATCAACGTCGGTTTTTTTTATATTTTTTTATTCCGTTCGCGTGGTGTGTTTTCGTCTCCCACCCAAGTCTTTTTGTTTTTTTTTTCCTACGCGTTTATACTTGTTCAAGAGTTTTTTTTTTGTTATTTATTTGTATTCTCTTCGTGCGTATCTCTTACGACGATCGTTACGCGTAATTGACAAGACAGTTATACGTTTTTCGAAAATGACACCGCGCGTTGTGCAGTTTGCACTTAAGTAATATTTTAGATTCTGAGTGAAACGATGAATGTATTGATTTTACAATGATGTGTGTTTTTTTATTTTTTTATTTTTTTTGTATCTGTGTACACGATAAGTAGTCGAAATAATGCTTCGATTTTCGACTTCAGTATCTTGTTCGATTGGAAAGTGAATATCATTGGTGCATTGGGAGGTCAAAATTTAAATTTCCCAGTAGTTTTCAAGAGCGCCGGGAAAAACAACATAAAAATTAAGGAAAAACGGGAATTTTTACGCAAAATCGGTTTTCCAAAAAATCGATTCTGGTTTTTGGTGTAACTTTAAAACAAATGACCGTAGATACATGAAATTTTCACTGGTTGTTTATATTTGCATCTTCTATACACGATAACATTTTCAAAATATTTTGATTTATTTTGAACAGTTTAGGGACATTTTCATTTTTCGTTTTTTTTTAGTTTTTTTTCTAGAAATATCAATAAAATTTTATTTGTTGGTTGCGAAAGCTTGAAAATTTAATAGAAGGCTCCTAATATATTGTTTCAAAGGCAGATGAAAAATATTAAAAATCCTTAGTCACAATTTTTTTTTATAAGCATTTAAAGTTCAAAAATTGACATAATATGGAAAAATCACGAAAATTAGCAAATTATTTTGAGTTAAGAATTCGTAAAAATTTTTCCTTTTAAATCTAAGATTTGAAAATGTAATACAAGATTACTCATAAGTTTGTCTACCTGTATCAATAAAAAATCTCTACCGGACAGTTAAATTAAATTTTTATGAGCTTTTGAAATTCAAATTTTTACAACATTGGATATTCAATCGATTTCTCATGTGGCAATTTCCTTTTTTGTTGTAATTAAAAAACGAATTACTGTAGATACATGAAAATTTCACTGAATGTTTATATTAGCATTTCCTATACACCATACAATTTTGAAAATATTTTGACCCTTTTTGAGCCGTTTACGGACATTTTCAGTTTTCAATGTTTTTAGTTTTTTTTTTCTATCAATATCAATTAAGTTTTATCTGTTGGGCCAAAAAGTGTAAAAATTTAATACAAGGCTCCTGATATATTGTTACAATATCAGTTGAAAAATATTAAAAATACATAGGCACAATTTTTTTTTATAAGCATTTTAACATCGAATTTTGACAGAATTTTTCAAAATCTCGAAAATTATTAATCATCGTAATTAATAAATTATAAAATGTTCAGTTTTTATAGCTAAGGATTGAAAATTTAAAACAAGATTCTACGTAAGTAGTTAATTCTCTTACCGAAAAATCTAAAAAATATACAATCACAGTTTATTTTTATAGTCATTTTATGTTCAAATTTGGACGAAATTTCATATTAAAAAACCTAGTTATTTTGTTGTGATTATATAATATTATTCGTGGGTACGGGGTACCTACTTGAAACTTCTAAAGTGTATTATTATATATCGATGATAGTATCAGGGTTTGTTATTGATGTTGATGTATAACGTGTTATAAGTGCCTAATGGATATTGTGATAATGTGATATGATTAATTTGGAATTTATTATAGGTCAATTTTTTTTTAATACCATAGATTTGTATATAATTTATCTTAAACCTAGACTGACATACCGTCTTCGCTCAGAATCGTTTTTCTTATACAATGATATTATATCATTGAATTCAAATTTAATAGCATCCATTATACAGTGACCCACTACTGTACAGCAGAGCGACATCCACTTACCCACCTTTTTTTATATTATTTTACGTCGAACGCTGCGGGCCGAGTCCACGCAATACGGTCCTCAGTTGACTTAACTACGACTGAGATCGACGCCGTTTTTAATAAAAAAAAAATTCGTGAATTTTTCGGTGCAAGTCACACTGCGGAAGACCTGTGGTCGGTCGTGTCGAACACATTTCGTAAGCCCAAGGGACTTCCGCGAAGAGGGAAAAATGTCGATTTCAATGTAAATCGCTATAATTCATAAAACGTATTTAGAGTCGATTCCGTTTTAATTTCGGTTGTATACCATCAAAAAATATAATTTGATACCTAAATATATTACCAGTAATTACACGCGGTATAACTCATATATGTATATACACGTGCGTATCTAATATATAGGTAGCTGGTATGGGTGTCTGGTATACATGTATAATATAGTGTCTTACATCATATAGATATAACGACACCGCAGACTGCCCTTCGATCGCCATTCATCGGATATTGTATATAATTTTCCATAGGCGAAAACAATTAATATAAATTGTGCGCGTTAATCAATATTATGAGTTTAAGTCGTATCGTAGCGTGTCAAGCCAAGTTCTAGCTAACAGAACTGGCGAGCAGCACCGTGTGTAATATTACACGAACCATTTGGAGCCACTTTTGACCCCCTCATAACTCAAAAACTATTCCACATAAACATGCCAAATTCGGCTCATATATTGAGACTAACGAGATACATATGTGCTCTAAATTTCATAAACACACTTCAAACCGTTATTTAGATATTAACGTCCGAAAATCGTCATTTTTATCACTGACTTACCTATAGATCAAAATTCTAACCCAGTTCCAGATGACCTAGAAAGTTCAAATTTGGCATACAGATAGGTAGTTAGGTTAATACAAAGTGTACGGGCCGGGTACGAACAATAATAGTGCGTGTCGCCTGGTCACCTAAATACTTCGCGCGCTGTACTCACACACCGACCGACCTGTGTAAAGATGTGTATGTGTGTGTAGCGACTCAAAGGAAGTGGACGGGGTCGCCGAGCAAGACCAGAGAGTGCTAGTGTGTGGTGCGTGTGTAAGTGTGTGTATATGTGAGAGTGTGTAAGCTTAAAAATAATAGTAACTAATAAAAAAGATGGTAACACGGTTTTAGGTAAAAATGGTTGCTGTATTGTACACAGAATAAATAGTTTTTTTTTATCGACACAAGAAATATAAAAATCACAGCATCATAAAGGTATAAAAATATGAGTAATAATATTATGGCCCTCCTGGCCCAACAAAATATAATAATAATAATATATGCCAGCTATTTGAGCTATGGCTCGTATATAAATAATAAGACGTGTAATATAATGTGTATAACCCTATGTGCGGTCCTTATGACCAAACAAATAAAAGAATAAAAATAATGTACGGCCCTTTTGGCCTAACCAATTAATTGTGTGTAACAAAAATATAATAATAATATAAAACTCACAGATTAGACGGTGCACGGCTGGCCAGCTGCTACCTATCCTGTATAATAATATAATTACACACACAAAATTGACATATACAAACACACAACAGTGGCGATTAGCGCGCACTAAAATTTAATATAATAAAAAATGCACGAATTGTGCTTAAAAAAAATACAATAATAAATCTGCGGCGATTAGCGCCTTTGATACAAAATAATAATATGTCCACGGCGATTTTTGCGCACACAACAATATTTAACGACGGCGATTTTCGCCACGGGCAGAATAATTTTCGGTCTGCTGACACCGGTGCGCGAAACTGGACGACCTTTTTGCGACTGATTAATGTGACGATAAAACACAATAAATAAAATAAAAAAAAACAACCTTGGCAATTTGTGCCTAAGCAATATAATATAATAAAAGAAGGGCTATTTGAGCACGTAAAAAACAACGATATTAATTAAACGGCGATTTGCGCACGTAAGATATTTCCGCGTTGGCGTAACGGGATGGACTGAGGACGGGGCGCCGTGTTGAACGCGTAATAATGATGCGTACGGCGGCCGTTTAATAATAATATCGCGATAGTACACATATTACATAATAATTTATAATCACATAATTTATACAAAAATATACAATATAAAACAAAGACAATAAAATTATATGTGACTGTGTGTGTGTGTGTGTCGGTGTGTGATTGCGCTTCGGCCTCAACATGCTCCCCCCGTTGAAGCCTGCTGGTCTTCAACTAATTGCTCTTCTTGCACTGGCAATAGGCATAGCTTAACTACCGGCCGACGCATCTCAGAGCCAGCTGCTGTACGAATAGTTACGACTCGAATTGTGCCATCGTTACCCGGGTGTGTGTTGATAACTACTCCTAACTTCCATTTTGTCGGGTGAGAGTTATCTTCCTTTATTATAACTACATCGTTCTTTTTTAAAGTTCGATTCACCGATGTCCACTTTCCACGGATCTGACATTGGGGCAAATATTCCCTATGCCATCTTTTCCAGAAGGTCTGAGTGAGAAATTGAACATATTTCCAGCGGCGCAGGCTGCTGGGGTTCTCTTGTGATATGTCTGGTTCCGGCGGTAAGGTCACGGGACCACCAATTAAGAAATGGGCAGGTGTCAATGCCTGGAGATCTGAAGGATCGCTGCTCAGTGGCGATATAGGGCGAGAATTCATACAAGCTTCTATTTGACAGAGTAGTGTGATTAACTCTCCTAGTGTTAACTTCGTTTCTCCCACCATCTTTGTTAGATAAGTTTTGGCACTTTTAACTGCACTTTCCCACAAACCCCCGAAATGCGGAGCAGAGGGTGGGTTGAAGTGCCATTCTATACCGTCTCGTGCTAACTCTGGGATGGATTTGTTAATCGCAGCACTGAGTTCCTTCTGGGCTCCTACAAAATTGGTCCCGTTATCACTATACATTTTTGAGCATCGTCCCCGGCGTGACATAAACCTACGGAGAGCAGCTACAAAGGCGTTGCTTGTCAGATCTTCGACCACTTCTAGATGCACTGCTCGAGTGGAAAAGCATATGAATATTGAAATCCAAACCTTTGATCCTGAAACTCTGCGCAGTCCACTTTTAATCATTAGTGGACCCGCGAAATCCACTCCCGTCACAGTGAATGGGCGTGAGCATTGAACTCTCGCTTTAGGAAGCGGCGCCATCAGTGGGTGCGGAAATCTAGGGTTTGCCTTTACGCAGCGAACGCATTTCTGTGTGACTGATCTGGCTATTAGTCTCCCCTTTAGTGGCCAAAATCTCCGTCTTACTTCCGCAAGTAGCTCCTGAGGCCCACAGTGCAGAAGCTCACGATGCCGATCTTGGAATATTAATCTTGTCACGTGATGATCCGCAGGTAATACAATTATGTGTTTTTGCTGTATGGGAATGACAGCATTTTCTAGCCTGCCTCCGACTAACAACATTCCGTTCTCTAGGAAGGGGCATAAGCTCTTTATTTTGCTGCTTCGGAGTACTTCGTTTTGTCTTTCCAATGTTTTGATCTCTCTGCCGAAACACTCAGCTTGTACCTGTCTTAACACTATCATCTCAGCGTTTTTTAGTTCGGGCACTGTCAGAAATTTAGGCTCGCATACCTTCTTCTTTGCCTTAAGATACCTGACGAACCGTGCGATCCATGCTACTGCGCTCACCAATCGTCTCCAGCATGAGTATGCCTTGAATAAGTTATCCAACTGGTTGACTGTTACTAATGCCAATTTGATTGGACGTTTCTCTGGTATCTGATCCTCCGCTATCAACGGTACTACATGCTGAACCCATTGGTTCTCTTCTTCTGCAAGCCAATGAGGTCCATTCCACCAAAGAACCTTATCTTGAAGCTCGCTTGGGGTCACTCCTCGAGATAGTATGTCAGCTGGATTTTCATCGGTTCGTACGTGCCTCCATTGCTCGGCTCCTGTTATTTCCAAAATTTGGTTTACCCGATTTGCTACATAAGTTTTAAGTCGTGATGTTTGGCTCTTAAGCCAACCTAGAACCACCATAGAGTCAGTCCATAGATGTATATCATTGATTCTTAGTCCCCACGCTTCTGCCGTTTTCCTTGCCAATTGAGCTAGAATTAACGCACCGTTCAACTCTAATCTAGGTATTGTTGACCCCTTTAGTGGCGCTACACGCGTCCTGGAACAAAGTAACCGCGAATGCCAGATTCCCATTTCATCCTTACTTCGGACGAACATAGCGGAACCATAAGCCTCTTCTGATGCATCGCAGAATCCATGAATTTCCACCTGGTGACTCATGTGTGGAATGCATTTCCTTGGGATCGCCATTGAGCTTAACTCCTTGAGCTCCTGGTAAAATCTTTCCCATCTCCTCGCTAGGTCAGCTGGAAGAGGACTGTCCCACTCTATCTTTAGCTGCCACAGCTGCTGTAGAAATATTTTTCCTTTAATCAGTACTGGTGACAAGAAACCTAAAGGATCGAAGATTCTGTTTAAATCTGACAAAAGCAATCTTTTGGTACTCCTTGTTCTTGCAGGATCATGCTGTACAAAAAATCGGAATTCGTCTGCTTCCGGTTTCCAACTGAGACCGAGTGACTTCAAAATGTCGTCTGTGCCGATTTGTAAGGTAAATAGGGTGTCACTGCTGGAATTCCCTACTCGTTTTAGCAGCTCAGCCGAATTCGAGCACCATTTACGTAGCGGTAGGCTTGCTGAAGCGAGAATCGCACTTATCCGCTGCTGAAGCCGAAAGCATTTATCAATGGTGTCAGCTCCGGTCATCAGGTCATCCATGTAGAAATCACGCTGTATAATTTCAGACTCTTCTGGGTCACTATGTCTTGAACTTTTTGCCAACGATACGAGACAGTTTGTGGCCATGAAAGAGGCGGGTGTAGTGCCGTAAGTCACGGTCGTGAGCCGATAAGTTTCCAACGTGACATCTGGTTCTGGTCTCCAAAGTATTCTCTGGAAGTCCTGGTCCTTTGGATCTATCTTTATTTGCCGAAACATTTTCTCAACGTCAGCTGTTATCACGAAATGATGCTTGCGGAAACGCATCAGAATTGCAGCTAGGTCATCCTGTACCGTTGGGCCACACATGAGCACATCGTTTAGAGACCGGTTTGATGTACTTTTAGCCGAGGCATCAAAAACGACGCGTAACTTCGTCGTAAGGCTTGAAAGCTTTAGAACTGGGTGATGCGGAAGGTAGAATACCTCTCTGGACACGTTTGATTCTTCACGGAGTCTCTCCATATGCCCCATGTCTAGATATTCCTTCATAAACCGTACATATTGCAGCTTCAACTCCTCGTCTCTCTGTAGTCTTCGCTCGACACCTAAGAATCTAGCCCTGGCCATTTCTAATGTGCCTCCGAGCTCATGCACCTCTGACTTAAATGGAAGACGCAATATAAATCTACCAGTCTCATCACGCTTGGCTGTTTCTTCGAAGTGTTGCAATGCCTTAGTCTCCTCTAAGCTTCTCTTATTAGCTTTAGACTCGAGTCCGTAACCTGTTGCCTGACAGCTGCACAATGACCTGAATTCATCATCACAAATTTCGCCAGCAGTTCTTGCTGACAGCAAGCAAGTGGTGTTGACTTCACCTGTCACCACCCAACCAAATCTTGTATCCTGGAGATAAGCTGTCCCTACCCGTAGCTGCACTCTACTTGGTTCCAGTAACTCGAAGAAGATGCCACCTCCAACTAAAATCTCGACTGATCCAGTGCGGTCGAAAAAGGGATCCGCCAATTGCGGAACTAATTCCTCTGGAATGTTCCATCCCGTTGGTGGTCTTGGACAACAGGGAAGATCATCTATAATTGTTGGCAACACGTGGCAGACTAACTCAGCTTCAAATGGCTTCACACGGGACCTTACCTTGAGCACGATGCTGGAGACTGACTGAATCTGGCGTGCTCCGATACCACTCACAGGCAATAATGTTTTCCGACGGGGCAGCTGCAACTGATTTGCAAATTTTGAAGACACAAAGTTAATTTGCGACCCACTGTCCAGCAAAACTCGACATTTTCTAAGCTCACCATGGCTATCAGCAGCAAGAACAGATGCTGTGGCTAGAAAAACATGTCCGCTTTTACCCTGGGCCGATAACACCTTCGGGCGTTGCTGGCTCGACTCAGATACGACGCTATCATTGTCACCTTCGATAGTCTTCTCCGTGGGTGCTCCTTGCTAACCTTCGAAGTGCAACAACGTATTGTGCTTTTTGTTGCATCTCTTACACGAATAGATGGATTTACAGCTGTCAGCATTGTGAAACGGAGCAAGGCAGTTGAAGCATAATCTTTCTGATCTTACAAGATCTAGTCGTGCAGATAATTTGAGAGACTTGAAGGTTTCACAAGCAAACAATCTGTGATCCTCCGTACAACAAGGACAGGATTGCGGATTTTTTTTGGCGGTCAGCAACGTTTTCCTTACCATACTTGATTGCCCAATTCCCCTGGTGTTTGATTCTCTGTTTTTGGAGCTATGTGTTGGCTTGTCCGTGCTTTGCGTATGCGCTTCTGAACTCTCCAAGGCGATGCATCGACCTGCTAAAAACTCATCTAACTGTTCATATTTTGGTAACTCAGTGTTTCTTTGGTGTAGCTGCCACCCATGAGCAGTGTTCTTGTCGAGTTTGCTTATGATAATGGTAACTAGCCACGCGTCCCAGTGTTCTACTGGCTGCCCTATTGATCGCAATGCTGCTACGTGTGAGCATACATGAGAATATAGACCTTGTAGTGAAGCAGCCGATGCCTCTTCTGCTCTTGGGGATTCCAAAATTGACTTGATGTGCGATTGTATAATCAGACTTTTATTATCATAACGCTGCTTCAATCTTTGGATTACGGCTTCATAGTTGCCATCACTAATCGGTATTGATTTGACTAAATCCAACGCTTGGTTAGTTAGACTCGACCTTAAATAATAAAACTTTTGCGACGGAGATAGCGACTCATCGTGGTGAACCATTGCCTTAAAGATGTCGTAGAATGATGGCCAATCTTGGATATTACCATTAAACTTTGGCAAAGGTATAGGAGCCAGCTGTATGCGTTGCCTTATAGAGGTGTTTCCAAATGAGTTATCTTGACCAGTTGTATTGTGCAGCTTGTCTGCGTTGATCAATTCTTGTATTTTGGATCTTAGATCAAAATAATTATTTTCAAATCTTTCTCTCTCTTCTTCTGCAACATCCGTTTCATCGGTAGCTAGCAATTCGATTTCGCTTTGAATAGTGTCAAATTTACGATTTATAAGTGGAAGTTCCTCTTGTCTGAAATCCAACAATGAAATTGGTTGCTCTGATGGATCAAAATTGTTCACAAATGTGGCAATGCGTGTTAATGCTGCCTTTACTACACCGCGCTTTTTTTTGAGATCCGCAAGAACCTTTAAGCTTGAGTCGTCTAAAACCATATTGATGACGTTAAGGTTCTTTCAGAGAGCAGAAATTCAAAACTGATATAAGGTATTGGTACTAACTAAATAATTAAAATATCAATAGATTCTAGTCGAAATTTGTTTACTACCTACCTTAATAGTATTGTCATAAAAATGATACGAGACAAATACAATACCAATTCAAATAATGATGATATAGCTTACTGATTATAACTATAATCACTTATTTCAATTCAATTAATAAAATGTATAGAATAGATTTCGCGCGAATCTGAATAATTAATAATAATATTTACTCAAATATCACGTCGAGGTCACCATATGTACGGGCCGGGAACGAACAATGATAGTCCGCGATGCCCGGTCACCAGATACTCCGCAAAATTATATGTGACTGTGTGTGTGTGTGTGTCGGTGTGTGATTGCGCTTCGGCCTCAACAATCATATTCAATCTGTTTTAAGTAGAGCATTGTATGAAAGTCACAATCGTATTGATGCACAAATTATCCAAGGTTCTAATATACAAGTTTCTGAAAATAGGGAAATACTTAGGGTTATTATTGATTCTTTAATATTTATGGCTCGACAGAATATTGCACTGCGAGGTCATGATGAATCGACATTTTCAACCAATCAAGGAAACTTTTTAGAATTAATTAAAATGTTTGCCAAGTATCATCCAACGTTACAACACCATTTAAATACAATTGAACAGCACAAACGAAATCGACTTACATTCTTATCACACGATAGTACGATACCCAAAACAAACTATTAATTAAATATTGTTCGTTCAAAAATTTTGAGTGAAGTTAAAAAAGCTGGTATATTTTCAGTAATAATTGATACCACTACTGACGTATCAAAATTAGAGCAATTTTGCTTAGTTGTCAGATATGTTTTTGATGGAGAAACTTATGAACGTCTTCTAGCTCTAACAACCACCCAAGATGCACCTGGATTTGGCATGTTTCAGGTTTTTTGTAATATAACTGAAAATAATAATTTGAACTGGAAAGAACATCTTTGTGCTCAAGGATATGATGGCGCAGCATCAATGCAAGGAGTTTATTCCGGTTTGAGAACACATATACAAAACCATAACCCACGAGCAATTTATATATGGTGCTTTGCACATGTACTTAATTTAATCATTGTAGACACTTGTGACATATGTTTAGAAACTAGGAACTTTTTCGGCGATGTACAGGCATTAAATGAATACATGAAAGCTCGCAAAAGAACGGCAAAATTTGTAGAATTACAAAACAAGAACTATCCAAATAAACCTATACGCCGTCTTAAACATTTTTCGACAACTAGGTAGACTTCTCATGATAGAGCATTAACTGTAATATTTAAAAAAATATGAACCATTAGTACAAACATTAAAATTTTTGAAAAATTCTGATGATTCTGACCGTGACTCTTTATCAAAAGCAACAGGTTTAGAAACAGCTGTAAACTCTTATATGTTTGTTATTACAATGATTTTTATACAAAAAAATATTTTCAATTACTTCTCCACTGTCTAAATATCTTCAGTCTAAGAACTTGGATTTTATACAAGCATTAACACTAGTCGACGATTCCAGAAAAAGGTTGCAAAGTCTTAGAACAGACGAAGAATATTTGAAATTAGTTGACGAAACTAAATTGTTTGTAAATAAAAATAACGTACGTGAGACAGAATTTAAAGTTCTCCGCCCAAGACGGCGGAAAGTTATGCCAGGAGAACTTGCTGTGGATGAAGTAAGTTTATCACCTAATGACCGTTATAAAACTGAAGTATACTTTATTGTCCTTGACGCTATTGTAATGTCCATTTCTATGAGATTCGACCAGTCAAGAGAAATATTAAAAGATTTATATCTATTATCTCCTCAACGAATTTTGAAGTACAGTGATGGTATAAGCAAGACATTACCAGAGGATGCATTTAATGAAATTGAAGATTGGTTACCTGGGATTAATATAAACTATTTAAAAAATGAATATTTAACTTTGAGCTCATCATTAAAGGGTTTACTTGATAGCTGTCCAACACTGCCCAAGCAACTGCATAAGAACATTTCTAAGGAACAAAATTAATGCTCTGAAAGTTCGACCGATAGTGACGGTGAAGAAAATACATCAATTACATCACAACAAATTATTAAAGTTTTATCTAACTACAATTTGAGTCAAACTTTCCCCAATTTATACTTGGCTTACAAAGGTTTACTGACGATACCTGCCTCATCTGCATCTGCAGAGAGAGCATTTTCAAAGGTAATATTATGTTACTAACATAATTATTAATTTTATTTAATGTGCTATCAAAAATAGTTTGAACTTTGAAGTTATAGTCTTTCATGTTCATTTTATTATACAGGTTAAATTAATCAAGACTAGACTACGCTCAACAATTGGACAAGACCGATTGGAAAGTTTGATGATTCTTAGCTGTGAAAGAGATATAAGTATCAATTATGAAGAAGCAATTAACGCATATGCTATGTCATCTGATTTATTAAGAGATAAGCTGATATTTAAATAAATGTGATTATGCCACTTTTGCAGTTATAAATGTATACATGTATCTATAAAATTAAGTTATACATTAATATGTACCTAGACTAAAGAAAAATGTATATTTATATAATATTATAATATGTAATTATAATGTATTATTAAATATAATAATAATTATAATAATAATTATAATATATTATATAATATAATGTATTATTATTTTTATTATAATAATGTGTGAAATTATTGAGGTTTTATAGTTGCCTATTATCTATATGATATTCAGAAATTTTTTAATTGGTGGCGGGGGGTGAAGTGCCGAAGTCCCTTGATACTTATTTTGGTCCAATGAGGGGGTGGTGGTCAAAATTTTTAAAATATATAATATGCTTCAAAGACTAAAAAAGTTCGCGCCGCCACTTTATTATGCGACATATTTATCGAATGCGATAAAATGATAAAATTATCGAATGCGATTAATTTATATCGAGCGTTTAAATTGTAGTCTATTTTTGAACAAGTATCGATAAAATTTTATCATATATTGAATGGGATAACATTTGTCGCACGAACCACTGCGCTAACGAATTTGCATACATTATTATAACCTCAAAATGAAATAAATATGATAAAATACGTAGCAAATTAGCAATCACGATTATAGATAAGATAAGATAACATTTGAATTTTGTATTAAGTAAGTATTAAGTATAAACATTAAACAGCAAACACAGATTTAAGATAATATTCCAGTTTTGATTTTAAAAGTGTTCAAGTGTTCATTTGTTAATATTTTTGTCATTATGAGTGCTCAAATAAAATGTAGACCTACTAAACAGCAAATGAAGTTGTTGGTTGACCTTTTGGCAGAAGACCCTCAACTTGTGGCTGGTAAATTTTCAAGCACGTTTACACAAAAAATAGCGAGTGCAAGATGGGAAGCTATAGCTTCCCAGCTTAATGCGATGCCGGGCGCTGAAAAAACATGGTGCAAATGGAAAAAGGTGATTACTATTTAGTTATTAACTTATCGAAATTTAAAAAATCATGCCCCTAATTCTTAATATTTCTGATTTAATAATTATTCTTAGGCGTGGCAAGATACCAAGTCTATAGCAAAAAACAAGGCTTCAGCAATTAAACGTCATAGTAATGGTACAGGAGGTGGGCCTCCCTTTAACATAACCATGTCGGAAGTCCAGCTTACTGCCATTGCACACATAAGAGATGTTGCAGTAACTGGCCATACAGACAGTTTTGAATCTGCTGTAGAGATCATTTATGATCATGATACTTTTCAATTAGGTATAATCAGTGCCGTGCCTAGCAAAATCAGCGCCCGGTGCGAAGTATCATTTCTAGCGCCCCCACGGCCCACCCCCTCTACCAAATATTTTTATAGTTATAAAAAGACTAGGTACATAACATTAGAGGAGAGCCGGATCAGATTCGTCAGAGTTACCTTATTTTTCACATTAAACATTTTTGTTGACATGTACTATGTACAAACACTTCTAAAGATGATATATAAACAGGGAGAGAGCCTTTTTTGAATACCTATATTTTGTGTATAATATTGACAAATGCGGTAGTATTAATAATTATTATACATTTTACTTGAACTCAGAAATCTGTATATATAATATAATAGTTATAACTTATAATTAGTATTAATAAAAGTGTAAGCATGTTTTTAAAATAAGTGATAATGTTTGGTTCAAACAGTATTTAAGTTAATGTGTTAATCAAAATAAAAATTCGCATCATTGAGTTAATTATTCTTATTTAGGTTACAAGTATTACAAATGTAAATTATCTTAATTCTTAATATTATATATATTACTAAACTTTTGAATGGATTTATAGTAAATAGTCTTAAAAAAATACTATAATAATTTAGTTTATAAAATATAATAAGTTCTTGACTTGCTTTTCATAAACTTATTTTTCGAGATTTGATCGATGCGAAGTTTTCAATAACATCATCAATATTGATATTTTGTGTCATTTTATTTTCTATTGACATTATAGCAATATGCCAATATTCGATAATCTTTTTTGAGTCATGGTTGAACGGAGATATGTTTTGATTCGTTTAAGTTTACTGAATGATCTTTCCCCAGATGCAACTGCAGGAAATGTAAATTAATAGTCGGTAAGTGATAACTAAATTTGGATACACTTAGTTCATATGTTTTATGCCATTTAATATGTCTAAATAAGTTTTTATAGTTATTATTAATTTTTAAATTAGTTATATTGCTTCTTCTTGATACTTAAAAATTCAATTTCATTCAGTAATTCACTATTCAGGTCTGAACTATATTTTAAAACTAGATCAGCAGCGTGTTTTTTAAGATATTCAATTGACCACGAATTAAGATTATAATAGATAGTATAGATTATACGAATTAACACAGGAAGAAATTCAAAATCGTTAGGAATGTTCTACAATGTTTCAAAATGCCAAAATATTTTTGAAATTAAGTATCTATCTATATAGTTATTGGTTGTACTCCAATTTAAGTTTCAACTTTTCTGATCCTTTATTTCGCATTTCTCCCAAAGGATTTTTTAAGCATGAGAAATAGAAATATTTGATTTTTGCAATGTAATATTAACTCTATAAACTTAAAGTGACGTCGTTATTTCGGAGAAAAAATAAATACCAACACTAAAAATATACAAAAATAAAAATACTATATTTTTCGACCGGAAGGTGATCAAGGCATTGTTAATTATGTCGAGTGGTGTTCGATGTGAAAAAAATATGAATTAATATGGAGAATTTTCAGTAATATTACTTAGATTATAATTTATAACAATGTTTTGGCGTCCCGGTGGTCAATGGCGCCCGGTGCCCACGCACCTCTCGCACCCCCCTAGGCACGGCCCCTGGGTATAATATATTTATAATAAATCAATTTTTATTAATGATAAATATATATTACTTAAAATGTAATACCAATGATATGGTTTATTTGTATAGATACTTCTCAAAATATCGATCAAGAGATTATTGAAATTAATCTAGAAAATGAATGTGAGTATGATTACATTATTAATGTTTATTTTGTACCCAACTAACTAAACATGACTTATAAATCCCTTTAATAAAACACTAAACACTCTAATGCTTTAAAATTTGTTTAAGTTGTACTGTGTATTCTGTGACTTTAAATGTGTATTAAATAATTATCAAACAATTAATTCTATTGGGAATTAAATAAAAGTGATAAAGTTACTATATTTCTTAAAGAAACTATTAAATTAATAAATATTATAAAAAATGTGATATTAAATTGCAATTTTATTATTTAAATATTTTAACAATTATTTTTTGATAACTTGTAGGTTTACTTAAGTCTCTAAATAATAATAATTGTTTATTTTTGGATGGGTTAGAAATGCATTTAAATAGTATACTCGAGTAATACTGTAAAGTAACAGCAAATTTTTTCAATTCATTTGAAAATGCAAGTTTTTTCCCATTCAATTTTCTTTCAACAATTTCACAAAGACTTTCAGAACCCATAGACTAAAAACATCAGTACAATATATTTGTATTAAGTTATAACTTTATAAGTATAATGAAAAGGTTATATAAATTAACATATCATTTTATACCATACACATTAAACTAAGACACTAAGTAGTAAAAGTAGTACTATATTTTACTAGTATTAGTATAACATTTTGTTATTAGACATAAGTTTATTATACAGATAGTAAAAAAGTTGGTATTATATATTAGACTTAATTTTATACTTCTACTAATAAATCAAATACAAATATAATTGTATTAATAGTTATAAGTATAATAAAAACACATACATAAATTAACATATCATATTATAACATACACATTAAACTAAGACAATAATGCCGGGTTGCATGAACAATCATAAAATATTTATTGAATCAATAGTGAGCTATTGGTCCCTTAAACATGATTTAGTGGCCCATAATATTTTATTGAACCATTAAATTTATTAATTGTTCATGCAACTCGGCATAAGTAGTATAAGTAGTACTATATTTTACTAGTATCAGTATAACATATTTTTATTAGACATAAGTTTATTATTATACAGATAGTAAAAAAGTTTAAAAGTTATTTATCTATTAAAAATATACATTAATATTTACCTCATAAAAAGAAGCTGTTAAAATTTCTGGAATGCAATTCCTGAAGGATATTTGATACTTTACTATTATTCCAGATGTGTGGTCATGTGTACTACCCGGAAATAATGCATTAACATTAAAATTTTTTAGATTTGAGTCACATATCTAAATTTAAAATATGTAATCGTATGTATTAAGTTAAATAAGAAAACATAATATAAGATGTTATTCATTCTTACTAGCTGAACGTTAATCGAATGATAATGTTTACGGTTCACATACATGTATTCCGGATACCTATTTTCATTTAGATTGAGATTTTTTGAAGGAGGCACTATAGCTACATGTGTACAGTCTAAACATCCAATCACCCCTGGAAATCCAGTTTTACGATAAAACCTAAGAAGGGGGAAAAGTGAGCAATCAATAAATTGTTCCATACAAGTTATTTCAGTTTAGAATAATACTAAATAATAAATGTCTTACTCCTGACGAACTGCAGTGAGCTCACGGATACTGTTTGGGAATTTACCCCAAGAATTAAATATAGTAGGATTATTAAGTGCTGTTACAACTTCTTTAATGCAACAAGAAACGGACGCTTGTGACAATAAAGTGTATCGACTGTTGCCAACCGGTGTTTGATAGTGTCCTGTACCAAAAAAGTTTAAAGCAACTAGCACCTACAATATATAATTTGCATGAGACAAAGATCTTTATAGATCATTAAATTACAAATTTGAAATTTTATTTTAAATGTTCATAAGTACCTTAGTGTCTATATCGATGGATGATTAACGGCTTGGAGATTTTAAAAATGGTCTTAATATATCAATAAGACAATGCGCAACGTGTTTCGTTAAACGAACATTTTTTATAAACATTTGTTCGGACTGTGTAAATGGGTCGAACAAGGGTTTGTGAAAATCATTTCTTACGCAATTATTTTTGTTTACACATACAGCATTTTCTATAAAATTGTTGACGACAAAATTCGTCATTATATCAAAATCTGACATTTTATATGAAAAAAAGACTTAAAACATTTAATTTTGTAATAAGAACATTTTTAATTTATACATTTAAAATTAATAAAATTATAATGGCCATTAATTGATGAGGATTGATATTTTGTTTACTATTTTATCAAGTGATTATACATTTTCATGCGATAAACATTTTGTCACCACCATTACACCAGTAGACAAATAGTCGAATGGTTTTTATCCATAGACCTTATACTAATAGACTGGCCTTGCCTATAGAGTAGCCGTGGTAGTAGCCGGTCAGACATACAGCAGTGATGTACAGTATAATCACATCAGTGCTGTCATTTTCCGTCGAGCACAATGTACAATAATATTGTACAACGATACCGTACTATTATCATTTATCTTTTTTTATTATGGGAAATGGGAATTGGGAATTGGGATGGGCTTTCGTGGCACTGTAACTACTAACTGCTAACTATTTTTTTTAAAAAATAACTAATTATATATTTATATAATAAACTCAAGTACCCAAAATTAGCTATAAATCGCTTTTGTTTATATTAAATTAACAGACATGAATAATAATAATTACAATTAAATCATTATAATAAATTTGAACTTATAATGTAATATAATATTCAAAATAATAAAAATAAAAATTACCTTATCCAGAAAACAATACCTGTTAGGTACTTTTAACATATAAATAGAAATTAATAAACATAATACTTATATATTTATTGTAATTATTAAACTTATAAATATAATATGACCTAGCCATACAATTTGCAAACCTAAGTATAAAAGTATTATTCATTATTGAATAAAATTAATTTGGTAAGTTTTTTTCCTAGTACCTAAATGCATTTTTTCTTGTTGTTTTCCAATGCTTTTTAATTTAAGGTGTACATAAGAACTTATAATTAATGTTAAAAGTTGATCCCTATGATTAGTTTACAATGACTGGCCACTAACATGATTATCCATCCCACTAAATACAGACCCATACACCTCTCTTTTTGTTTCTAAATAAATCTTATTCATCAAATTTTTAGTTATGTATTTCAAATCTTTGCGTTTTATTTTATTTTCGATAACTTTACATATATATGATACATCTTTGCTTGGTTTCACTAATGCATTATTTCTATATTTAATTTAATTAAAAGGCTATTATTAGAATTATCTATTAAATATGTTTTACATATATCACAGTTAATTTTTTTGGCGACCTTTCTTGCAATAAAACCCGAAATATAGTCTGTCACACCAGCAATAAATGGAGATAATTTTAAATAAGTTTCAATATAATTGTGATCATGATCATCACTTTGTGTAAATTCTAAATTATCATTACATTCATCATCATCTAAAAGTATAGAATCAGATTCTGATATAGTTTTTTTTTTCAACATAGATTCTGGAAGGCAGTTGCCATATTGTGAACCACTCACATGATGATGAACCAATAGTTTTTTATAAGAAATTTTGAACTCTTTACAGGAATGATTGTTATTATATCCTCCTCTTGACCTTATTGAACTTAAAAATATATTCAATATCATACTTTTTATTTTTTAAAAATGTGTAGTAGTTAATAAGATTTTTCAAACGCCAGACAATACCTACAAATCCAGTTTTCCTAAGTGATTCAACAACTTTTTAACCGCTAGACAGTATTAGGCTATGGACATATTTTTAAAACTTGTTTGTGAAATCTAAGTATTTATCAAAAATTGATGGACTTAGTGCTAAATTGAAAGGAGATTTAGAATATTTGGTGCGACAGTTTAAAATATCAAATGCATTGTTCATAATCATACAGAATTCTGCTGTTGATTTTACATTAGTGAATTCTGAGTCTAAGGTCTCACAAAATGTTAATGAACAGCTTACACTACTACTAAGAACTTGTGAAGAAAGCTTTACGTTCATTTTTTCATTATAATAGTAAATATGTTTTCTGGTTAATTTTGTTGCTGCTTTTAATCCCTCTTTTTTTTCTTTATTATAAAGATTTTTAATATGATCCCATTTAATTTCCTTATTATTTTCCCCAATTAATACTTTTTTGTCACCTAATGTATTACGAATAATTTTAATCATAAATTTAATCATAAGTTTAATCATATGACACGGATCATAAAATAAGAACACAGGTTCTTTAGATACAGGATGTGGAAAGAAAAATCGAGGGTTATTTATATTTAAGTTAGCTCCCAATTTAGTGCACATACTTAAATTAGTATGTGCTCCATCAAAAGTCATGGAATTTACTATTACACCAGTATCATGTAGTAATTCTAAACATTTTTTAACTAAATTTGCAAGTTCACTTGAATTTAAGCCCTTTACTAAAAAATACCCTAGTGGCAGTTTCCAATTACCATTTACTGCTACGATTAAAAATACAAGAGCACTTGTGGCATGATTAACATTATCTTCATTTAAGTCAGCCCCGGATCCTACATCAACCAGTCCATGGAATGTTTTACCATCAAATTCAACTTTATCTTTTATAGACATTTCATCTAATACCAAATTTCCAATGACAGTTTTATTTTCTGCTACTTAAAGTTTTAAAGTATTAAATGTTTCTTTTGTGAATCCAGGTTCCCCAATTATTATATGATACCACTTATTTAATGTTCTGGGATGCGGAAGAACGTTTAAAAATTGTTTACGTACAAAATTGTAGGCTTTACTCGAGTAATACTGTAAAGTAACAGCAAATTTTTTCAATTCATTTGAAAATGCAAGTTTTTTCCCATTCAATTTTCTTTCAACAATTTCACAAAGACTTTCAGAACCCATGGACTAAAAACATCAGTACAATATATTTGTATTAAGTTATAACTTTATAAGTATAATGAAAAGGTTATATAAATTAACATATCATTTTATACCATACACATTAAACTAAGACACTAAGTAGTAAAAGTAGTACTATATTTTACTAGTATTAGTATAACATTTTGTTATTAGACATAAGTTTATTATACAGATAGTAAAAAAGTTGGTATTATATATTAGACTTAATTTTATACTTCTACTAATAAATCAAATACAAATATAATTGTATTAATAGTTATAAGTATAATAAAAACACATACATAAATTAACATATCATATTATAACATACACATTAAACTAAGACACTAATGCCGGGTTGCATGAACAATCATAAAATATTTATTGAATCAATAGTGAGCTATTGGTCCCTTAAACATGATTTAGTGGCCCATAATATTTTATTGAACCATTAAATTTATTAATTGTTCATGCAACTCGGCATAAGTAGGTAGTATAAGTAGTACTATATTTTACTAGTATTATGCCGGGTTGCATGAACGTTCATTAAATATTTAATGAACCAATAGTACGCTATTGAATGAATAAAAAGTTATTCATCCACTAAATGTTAAATAAACGTTCAATAACGTTATTGAGTCATGAAACTATTGGTTACCGGTCAATTAAACTAATGATCCGATTTCGGTTGAATAAAAATTTATTCGTTCATTAAATAGTAGTATACAGTACCTACGTCCGTTACTACCTATGCGTCTTGTCAATGCGTTACACCACTTACACACTCTTACATGTTACATTCTTGAATTTTTCTTGCTTACCACGTATATAATTAATTATTAATATTTAATACATCGCAAAGTAATTAAATACACTTTGAAAAATGACTGATTCCGACTCATCTAATTCTGATGATGAAATGGTGTTGGATGTATTATTTTATTTACCCAGACCAAGATTCTTTCGGGATAGGTCAAACCCATTGGAGGATTTCGACGATTTTGATTTTAAAAGTAGGTTTAGGTAAGTAACTAATAGCTATAATAACCAATAAGTTAAATAAAATGTAAATCGTACCTAATTTGATACACAATAAATGCATTTTTTTACAATAGACTATCAAAGGAAACTTTTGTATTTTTATTACATTTAATTGGAAACGATTTGCGACGTTCTACAAATAGAAGCTTCGCCATTTCTCCAGAAATACAAATTTTGGTGACTTTAAGATACTATGCTACAGGTACCTTTCAAGTATGTATAGTGTAACCTACATCAAAATGTATAGTACCTACCTATATTTTTATTTGTTTTTCTAAATGTAACGTTATATATTATGGTAAAGTTACTGTTGAACTGAACACATGTGTTGATGCATTAAGATTTAAGACCTCCGCTCTGGTCTATAATAGTGGAAATTTGCAAATTTTTCGCTGCCATCCAAGGCATGTATTAGTCATAAATGATTATATAAGTCTGTGCCTGGTTTTAAAACCAATTTAAAAAAAAATTTCCGAAATCAGTTAACTACGTGGCATTGGCGTGCTAGGCGAGTTTTTGATCGAAAAAATCGGTTACGGGCAGCCCTTAGGGGGACGTCGCACACTCGCACCCTCAAATTATGTTGTCTTGTTGTCTCCGTCTTACACAGTGGCGTAGCCAGGAATTTTGTATAGGGGAGGGGGCTAAGTATACAAATACAATATGTCTTTTATTTACACTTTTTATAGCCCCTTAGCCACCCCCTGGTCTTACATACGTACGCATTGCACATTTTACGCTCAGCAAATCACGTTTAGCTCCGTTATTTTAAAAATAAAAGTGAATATAAAATTATAAAAATAATCTTATAAAATTCAAAGGTAAGATCTAGATATTATCTATAGTGAATAATCACGTAGGCTTTTTTATTATATTTTAATTTTAAATCGAGTTATAAGTATTTTAAAATTGTAAATTGTTTGTAGGTACATCTTAAAATTAAAAATACTTATAACTCGCTTTAAAATTAAAATATAATAAATAGCCTATGAGATTTCCTAGATAATAATCTTACATTTTAATTTTATAAGAAGTCAATTCACTCTTATTTTTTAACTAACGGATCTGAACGTGATCTGCTGAGTGTAAAATTATTATTTTTAAAATTAAGTTCTAAAATAATATCCTTTAAAGGATTTGATTGTTATAACCGTTCCTCTTTAACTGTTAAAAATTGAACAAGTACTTTTCTATTGTACATAGTCACATACCTAGGTAACTGTCTACTATAATCCTTTCTTTCCCTATATTCCTTAATAAAGGCCGTTATTGGAGATCACGTACACGTCCATAAGTCAACAATATGCCGAACCATAAAACGTGTGTCACTCGCGATTGGTCGTCTTCGTCCGCATTTTATCAACATGCCTAGGGATGCTGAAGAAATTCAGAAAGTTCAAACAGGGTTTTTCAGATTGAAAGGATTTCCAAGAGTGGTTGGGGCAGTAGACTGTACCCACATACGTATACAGTCACCAAACAGCAATATTGGAGAAAGATTTCGAAATCGGAAAGGGTATTTCTCCTTCAACGTACAGGCTATATGTGATAGCAACTTAAAAATCATGAATATTGTTGCACGGTAAACATAACTATTTAAAAAATACATTTTAATAATTACAATTTACATACGTACTTAAATGAACCTATTGGTGGAGCATAAAAGTGATTTTTAAAAACATCCCCTGAAACTTTTTGTGCCTACCTACTTCATAAATTTAAAATGTTACCTTAAAAACAACCTTATTACCATTAATTATAAATAGTATTATTTATAGTGAAATTAATTGGTATAATTTTTACTGTATGTATGTAAGTTCTTGTATTATGATACTATGATAGTATAATAGAACAAACTAATACACAAAGGTATTGTTCATCTAAAATGTTGTTGTAGGTGGCCAGGTTCTGTTCATGACAGTACAATTTTTGATAATAGTATGTGTAGGGCTTAGTTTGAAAATGGAGAATATGGAAATAGTTTTTTACTCGGAGACGGAGGCTATCCATGTCGTGATTACATGATGACTCCTCTTCTTCGTCCCGTTACTGAAGCTGAGAAGAGATATCAGGTATTAGTATATTATTTATTGTTAGGAAACATTTAATACTACCATTCATAGAAATTAAATTTCTCTCTTTTCACTCTTAATTTTCCACAATCTGGTTCAAATATAATTTTAAGTTATAAGGAATTAAAATTAAATTAATCTAATACATATTTTTTTTATGATTTGTGCTTCATTAAAATATCTCCGACCACCTTCATTAAGATAACTTCCAGATAAATTTAATTTAGTTTAACAATTATGCATTTAAAAATATCATTTTTTATCATAGAAAGCTCATATTGGTACAAGAAACGTTGTAGAAAGACTATTTGGTGTGTGGAAAAGGAGATTTCCGGTGATAGCTGTAGGAATACGCACACAGCTTAACACGACTATGACGACCATTGTTGCCACAGCTGTTTTATACAACATTTTAAAAGAACAAGGTGATGAAATGCCAGCCGACGAATATGCCGTAGATAATGACTTACTTCTGGAAATTGATATGAACCCTGTAAGGCAAACAGGCAATTTAGTCAGAGGACAGTTAATTGACCTGGTATTTACATAAAAACCATTTTATAGCGGTATCAGTTAGTTGTAGTATGTATATTATTTGTAAATTTTTTGTATTATTCATTAGATTTGTTTATGTATACTAAATTTAAAATTGTATATTTATTTTTCAAGTATAATAAATAAATTATTATTATACAGTTTTGAAAATGAAAATAAATATTTTTATACAGTTATAAACTTATAAAAATGAAAATAAATATTACTTATGTAAAAAAAATCAACTAATTTTATTATATAATTTTAATATTATACGAAATACTTAAATTATGAACAGTAAGTTTTAAAAATTGCTATAGTTTAATTATTTATACTTGCAAATATATATTTACTCAAGTCCAAACATTTTTTTTTTGTGCTTGAGTTCTAATAATAATATCTCTTCTTTAAATTTGTTTTGACGAGATTCACTTTCCAATCTTTCAACTTCAAATTTTACTTTTTGTGTCATAAGTGTTTTTTCTAGTTCACTTACTTCAAGGTCAACTTTTGCTTTTTTTAACCTAATACTGTGTAGTTCATCTTCAAATTTTGTGGTATTTTCTGTTTTTGCTAATCGCTTGTTATTCAAAATAGATAAACCTTCGTACACTTTCTTGGAACTTATCTGTTTAGATTCATTAACATTAATAATATTTTTTGATTTAGAGGAGATTAAATTTTCAGACAAATTGGATTTAGGAGTACAGGATGTTGAAGGAACGGATTCATTTAATGATCTGGATTGTGGTTCAAGGGTATCACATGTCACTTCATAATTTTGTAAAACATATGCTAAAGCAAAAAAATCAAAAAATTAAAAGCAAGCAACAAGTCAATCATATTGTTAAATAATCATCAGTAATTAATAAAAAAAATTATATACAAACCATTAGTGTTGGGAAGTAACTTAAGCTATAAGTAGCTGTAGCACAATTACTTTTTATGCAATTTGATTACATTTGATTGTTAGTAATTTATATGTAATTAAAGTTACTTTTTGTACTTACATAATTACATTAATAAATAACTCGTTACTTTTTTTTCCGCAACACCAACATTTGTTATTTGGGCGTAATATAGCAACTAAGATATTCCATACTTCCGCGATTACTAGGTACTCTCTGACTCTCTAGTTCGGTTTAGAGCAAAAGGATCTATTATAAGTTGTATACAGAAAGAAAAATATTCAGTCAATGAACTTAATATTCTTCTTTAGAAAACATATAATAGTTCCTTTACCCTGTACTGAATCAGAGAGTCACCATTGTGAAAGTAAGGAATACGTTTGTTGCTAAAGTACATGCAAATAACAAATTTTGATGTTGCAGATCCTCATTCACATGGGCGCAACTAGAGCAAAATTAATGACGTGCTAAAACCTAAAGTACAACATGAAAACCCTCCTTTCTTATTTAAGATAAGCAAAATAATTATACACTAAAATAGTAAAATGTAATGTTTTTATTTAAGAAGGTGTCAGCGGCCACTAAGCACACTATTTGTTTTCTCTCTCTTTCCCACGCGCGACACAGACACAACTCATTTACGCAGAATAATTTTTTATATCTAGTGTTATGGATTTTACACACAACACAAAATAAACGTACTAAAATATGTACTAATCAGGGGTTCTTAACACCCCCCAGACTAAATGAGACACGGGGGTCCAATGACCACAGTGTTTCACTTAAATATTTAAGTTTCTGCAAGATTTCGAATTTTCTGTTATTTGGGGGTCAGTTCAGTTTGACAATAAAATAATAAAATATTAAAGAAAAATAATAAAAGAAAAATAAATTACACTGTGTCTTCCTAAATACCATTAGATTTTTCATGCTTCTGGTATTTCAGGGTTGTATATTTTTGTAACATTTTTTCTTAAACTAAAACTTAATATACTAAATGTTAGTATTGTTAGTATTACAATAATATAAATGACAATAACGTGAATGTTAATATTGAAAATTAACGAAGGTTCAGCTAGGGTATGTGAAAGTTCATTTAACTCAACTGCTTTATTAGTCAGTTGGTTCAAATTTTGAATTAAGATTTTATTAGTGAGGTTTTGAGGAATAATTGTTTTGACTATATCTGTCAATGTGTGTAACGGATCCTTCTTAGAATTTTCTGGTATAATATCTGAATGAATATCCCTACTAGCTTTGTTATTAGAAAATAATATAGAGTTTCTGAGATTAATTTTACAAAATGGGGGTATAGTTATTCTGCCTACGCCCTCAATTTCTATCTTGGAATTTTCTGTTGGATTTGTGCAAGTGATGGTACCTACTTCCCGTTGGGTATAATAGATCCATGAATTAGTTTGCACTAACTGATGCCATATAGGGGCTTTTAATGAAACGAATTTGAATTTGCAATGGTCTGGATTAAATTGATTATTCACTAGTAATGAAACTACACATACATCTGATTCTGCACGATGCTGTACATGTTGATTACCTCTACAAACTTTATAGGGCTTTAATGTTATACATTCTTCCCATTTTACGTTATCTAAAGCAATAAAATTTTCGTTGTCTCTGCTTACACCTAAATAATCTATTTCAGGGTCGACTAAGAAAATGGTTTGTTCACTGTGGGGTATGGGTAAAGGTATAGGGTGGTATATACTATATTCCTCACTGGTAATTAGTGGGATTTCTATGACATAGATAAGATAGTTGTCTTTAAAGAATATGTTTTTTTCAGAGATTCGGAAGATTTCATTAAGAGATTCTATATTAACTTCCAATGGAAAAGTATTTCCAATCGGCAAGTCCACCTTAATTTCAAGAAGTTCTTTAATAATGTGCTGTGGAGTAAAGACACTAGTGTGAATTTTTCCATCTAATGCTGTATTTATTATGGAGATAAGGTTCTGGGTTTCATAAGCGTACTTATTTAATACTAGTTCAAATAGTAATGATTGTTCTAATACTTTGGTTCGGAACGCCAATTTATTAAGGTTCTGGATAGTAAGATTTGTTTGTGCTTGTAGGTACTGGAGGTTTTGTTCTACTTTTTGTTGTTGGAGTTCTAATTGTTGTGTAGAGTGATTTACTTCTGCTTGTAGGAATCTGATCTTTTCCGGAATATTGTTTTTACTAGGTACTTTGCTTCGATTTAGTTCTGTTATTTGATTTATAATGAATTCAACATCAATCTTTGAGCATACACCATACAGAACGTTGGCCATACGCCTGAATGTTTGCCCCAATCCCCGTCGAACTCTATTATCATCATTATTAATGGCTAACATAAGACTTCTGTGATTAGCTTCGATCTCGTTTAAATAGGGCAAAGTTGCTCTAGAAAATTGTTGTATAAACAGAGAGCAAATCTCCTCAATTTCCACATTGCCAAATCTGTTTTTCATATTTTCGCAAATGGTCGTGGTGGCTTGATAGTGAGCCATGATGACATGGTATTTTGAAATTAGTAATTGTACATCCAAGGAGATTACCAATTCCCAACTCACATGTGACAATCTGGCTACTCCATGTGACTCATAATAGATCCCTTGTTGGTTCTTGAATGACGTTAGATTAAATACTTGGCGGTGATTTCTTTGGTCCGAATCATTGATGGAAGGTTCCGTGACGCTTATTGAAATTATGCTAAATCTGAAACATAGTTATGTTCTTTCATGAAATTGTTTTAGAAGGTTCCGGTGTACCTTTACAGGCTTGTTTTTCTTAAGTATCGTGACATTTGGTGAATCTGGTTGTATTTCTACGATGGGGTAAGGACCTAACCATTTTGGGGCTAGTTTTCCCTTACGGGCCTTGTCTTGTATTAGGACTCTATCTCCTTCGGCAAGGTTTAGAGGTGCTATTGATTTGTCATAACGCTCTTTAGATTTGTGTTTGCTTTCTAATAGCTCTGCTCTCGCTAATTTATGAGCTTCCTGCATTTGTTTCTTCATCTCAAAGTGATAGTCCTCATAGTTGTATTGAGGTTCAGGATCTCGAGTGAATGAATGCGGAACGGTTATCTCATTACCATAAACTAGTTGATATGGTTGAAATTTGGTTGCAGTATGTACTGTTGAATTATGACAAAACATCGCGAATGGAACATAAGTGTCCCAGTTTTGAGGATCTTTGTCAACGAAACTGCGTAAGTAGTCTCCTAATGTTCTGTGGCTACGCTCTAAAGATCCATTACTTTGTGGATGGTATGGTGTGGTCGAAGTTTGTTTGATCTTAAGAAGTTGACATACTTCTTTGAATACATGACTAAGGAATTCCGTACCACAGTCTGTGACAAGACTCTTCGGAAGTCCATGTAAGCACACAAATTGGGTTACAAAATGGTATGCTACAGTGTTTGCTTCATGGTTTATC